ACGTGGCTTGTTCATGCTCGGTAAAGTCTTCCACGTTCCTGCCTCCGAATTGTAAAGTTCAGCAGAGCCAAGTATATTGCCTTGTGAGTCACAGCCACCAGCTAGAATGCCAATCTCCCCAATGCTGGCAGCTAAGTTGCTCTGACACGGGTACGGGTGTCCGACACGGGTGCGGATCTAGAGGTCGGATCCTTTAAGATGGAAATTTTAAGATTCGGGGATACGGATCCTAGAACCGACACGGGTGCGGGGATACGGCTAAAAGTTTGCACACTTGTATTAATATTTGTCGTGCTAAGACAAAAGTTTGCACACTTGTAGTAAATTTGTTACAGTAACGTGGTCATAAAGGTAAAGTATGTCAAAAAGCATATCACTTTTTAAAAAGAGCTACAGTAACTCTTTTTTGAGGTCCATATTGCAAGTGGATGCAATATTTAATAAGAGACAGCTGTAACTCTTCATAAACGGCAAAATATTAGCTGTCAATTAAAATATGGTCAATTCCTAATTTGTCTCCTTCATCCGTTCTCTGCACTCGCCTCTTCTTCTTTCTATCTCTGAGTCTTCTTCCCCAACAAAACCTTTTTCATCTCTTTGTTTTTTTCAGTACAAAACTCATTATGCCTCAGTCCAGTAGTCCACCACACATCTTTTGCTTCTCTGCCCAAAAAAAAAAACAGGAGCTCTTGATTTCAAAAACCTGAGCATGAACAAGAAGATTGACCAAGACAAAAAGCTTCAAAGGAGACAAAAGGACTAATATAAGAAGGAGAATATCAGCGAAATTGAAGGTATTTCGCTTTCCATCTCTTCAAATCTTTACTTAGTGAAATCAATTGGGAAAAATTTTGGTCAACGCACCCGATCTTGTCTGACCATATCCGACACAGGTCCCACACCCTTACCCGTGTCAGTGTCGTGTTGACACGGGTACGGCACCCAAATTGTCGTGTCCGAGCAACTTAGGCTGGCAGAACCAAACAAACATCTTGGTACATTTATTCGCATCCCATATGACCACGTGTTTGTCAATAAACTGTAACGATAAATGACATGCGAAAAGATCTCCTTTCCAAACACAAGCAGCTCTGTGCCAACTGCCAACGACTCCTTGTCAGCCAACACGAAACACTCATCAAGAGTCATAGCTGGCAGATGCATCCAACGACAGCGACTAGGATCAAAAGCTCCCCATTCAACCAGTTCGCAGTAGAAATAAACCCAATGCTCAACCACACCATTTTCCCGCCGCAATTTGTAAAGTTCTCCGCTCCTAATCAATGAGCGCAAGCTACGATTCAAAGATGCTATGGCACCATAATCCGACCGAGAGCAATGAATGAGACAGCCGATGGAATTGTCACGGCCAATGGCATAAATAAGAGAGCTCGAATCAGAATTATCCCAGCATGACGTTTATTGCCAACTTGCTCGTTCGGGGATGCTGAAGAGTTGCCCAAAGATAGAGCGACTTCCACTTTGTTGAAAGCATCAGACTTATTTGGCAACTTGCATTTCACAAGTTCACGCTCCTGATAATTTACCAATGGCTCTTTGCCATTCATGCAAGCCACCAAGTTACGTTCTCTCTGACAATCCTTTGAAACCAAACAAGACTGATCTTCTAACATGTCGTCCAGATTAAAACAAAGAGGATTTGATAAAATGAAGGAAGAAGTTGATTGCAATGAACTGAAAAGACAACCTTTTTTGTATCTGGTGAATTTTCTACCTCTGTTGTTTTCTTGATTTTCCTATTAATATAGTATTTTTTTTCTTTTTCTTTTTCGGTATGTATTAGTTTATAAGGGTAGTTACTTAATTTTTGTACTATTTGGTAGAAGAAGAATCGGGGCCTTTGAATTTCTCTTCTGAAATTAAAGTAAGATTTGGCTTCATAAGGAGGAAAAATTAATTAAATGCCTAAGGAGAAAGTGCAAAAAGAGTAAGTAATGTAATCAAAGATCCAAGTAAACTAACAGTCTCGGTTCACACTAAGCACTCTCTCTTTCACTTTTTTTCCGTAGAGCAAATTCTTCTCTCGTTATTCTCTCAAGTTCCACAAAGAAGATTTTCAATATTTTCTTGAAGGAAGCAGCTCTTCCTACACAAAAATTTTCTTAAATTGAGTAAGAACTTCTCTATTGTTTTCTTAAGGGGTGGAGTGGGGGGATTGTGCATGATACTCAAGTTACATTTCATGACTCTAAATCTGTTAATTTTTTTCACTAATAAGTGGGCTTATCTTTGTTTCTCCACTGGTATTCAACTTAAACTGGTATTCAACATAAAGGTTAAACGTCTTCCAACACGCCTAACATTAGTTAGCACCTCTCCATTGTTCCTACCAGTGTTGTTTATATTTTTCCAGTAAAATTTGTTGATTAGCATTTGAAAGTTCTTTGGTTCCCATAGACAGATTGACATGCATTCTATTTCTATCATTTTAGGCAATTGAATTCACAGATTGATGATATGGGAGGGAATTTTTTTTATTCATCTTTCTAGTAAATTTTGCTGAAGTATTTACTTATATGCTACTTGGAGAATTATAAAACATGATAGTAAACCGTAACTGATGGAAGAGTAAATGCTAAAGATGCCTACCAAAATTTTGGGACCACCCGCTATGCGACATATAAGAGCATAGGTGATGAGCGCATTTAGTAAATAGCACTGATATTAAACATTTTCTCTAGATAAGTAGAACCTGTAATTTCTAGGTTTAAGCTTTCATGAAAAATATTTTTAAGGGAAAACAGCTACCGTTGTAGGACTTGCAGGACACCTCCCCCCCCCCCCCCCCC